AGCTCAGAATATATAATTATTTGAGAATAGCAGCAGGAATGGCAGCTAGTCATAGTAGCACCATCATTATTAACATTTCAGTCCCATAATGTTAATAATAGGAAGTGATATATTAAGTTGTTTCTAAAGCTTTTAAAGCAAGTGTAGCAGGTTATAGACAGTCTGACCTGCTTGGATTAAATCAGCTGATTCACCCCTTTTATTCTATTGGAAACAAAATGTCCATTTATGAACATGTTATTCTTCTGAGTGATCAAACTGATCGCACATTTCCATTACCTATATAGGGGAATATTTCCAACTGAAAATATCCCACTGTGGATTTCTTTAGGTGTATTATGGTGTATAAGACTAAATGTGATTCAGTTTCATCATTCAACTTCATAGACAGGCTTTATGCACCATGTGGGGCTTGAGATTTTCTCCAAAGCATTAAAACAAATGCAGTTTTTCTGTATTAAAAGACGAATTGATTGTTGTTTATTTGTTAAGCTGTGAAAATGTATTAACTGTTGATGCAACACATCTAGGGCTTTGATTTCCTGCAATATTGAGAGAATCTTTAGACAAAATACAAGCATCGTATAGGAGGTTTTAAGAAGGAATTATTAAAATATGTTTGTGGTTCATCAAAAAAAGCATCATTTATAATGAAGCCATCGGAAAATGTGATGAGGATTCAATTAAGGATGTTGATTTTCTGTTATTCTGTTTGGGTAGGAAGTCCAAGGATGACACGTGGGTGAGCAACAACACGTACTGGGAGCTGCGCAGAGACCCCGGCTTTGGCAAAGTAGACTTCCCTTTGCTGTGGTGACCTGGGACTATATGTCACCCCCTCCAGCTTTTCTGAACTGTCAGAAATCTAAAACTACATGAAGATCATCAACTGGGAGCTTTGACCTGGTTGACATGAACTGCTCTGTGTCAGCATAGTAGCACCATCATGACACAGACTTCCTGCTTCCTCCTTTAAATCAACTGTGCACAGAGCCTGTTCTATATGTTGTTGTGTTTGTTTCTTTTTGCTCCTAACTGTAATATACACAAACTCAGTGTAGACTAAAGGTGCACATCAGTGTGTTTTGCTGCTTTTATCAATTTATCTAAGTGCCTTTCACTGCAGTGCTGCACTCAAAGAACTGCTGGAGCGGTTATGCAATAGTACCTTTATTTGGAGACAGCTATCAGAATGATGAGCTGGCAAAGACGGACCTGGAGATCCTGAAGGAGATCATGTCCCACTTCTCTGTTTTTTTTTTTTTTTCTGGGGTGTCAAAACTATGACAAAATGATTTTCTGGGAGTTTTTTTTTTTTGTTTTTTTTTTTTAATCTAAACAAAAAAAGAAGGAAGCGATTCCTTTTTCATTATGCTGCCTTGTTGGATCATTCATGCCTGTAGCAGGACTGTGGATACTTTTTTCTCTTGAGGAAACAGCACAATTACTCCCTTTTGGAAGTATGTAATAAATTCTGCAATGGGTGGAGGAGTTATTATTTATGATTGCATACATTTTTTTTTTATTCATTTTACTTCCAGGTTAGCTTTAGCTTGACTAAGTAAGATAGCTGTATCTAATAAAAAAAGGAAAGCCAGGATTAATTTTCCCTCAGAAATGTTTGTAAGGTAAGTTTTGCCTGTGTTGTAGTGCGGCATTGTGACACCTACGTTTAAGTCTCCATCTGAAATTAGTAAGAATAGTCAATCTAAAGCAGAAGTGTGATTGAGGAAGGAGGTAAAAAAAGGAATTAGGATTCTTCCTATCAATTGTTCATCTTGAATATCTTGAATAGCAACGGCATTTTGAGGCAATACCTGAAACCAGGTTCTTTTATGTTTTCTTTAAGAGTTTTTTTTATATATAAATTCAAAATCAATATTTTATTTGACTAAATGATCCTCTAGTAATTTCTAATTAATTATTACTATTTCAGTTTTGTGTTATTTAAACTTTCAAGCACAACAATACATTTGCCCCCAGTCCTTTGTATGAGAGGCCGTATACAGTAAGCACAGGTATTTGTGTGAATTTGTTTTTTGTAAATCTTTTCCGGAAAGCTGGGGTTCCCTTTCCTACGCAGCCTGTTCTAACTGTTGACCTTATGAAAAGGTGAAGGGATTGAAGGCAGGAACAAGTAGGTAGAAGATACATTGCCTGATTCAGAGGGAGTCTGTTTGACCCCTGCAGCAGGTCTGAGGCTTACACATAGTGCTTTTAGCCTTTTTTTGTAAGGCTCATAAAAATCTTTCGTTTGCTACTACAACCTCAAACTTCATTGGATTTTATATGAATTTGATGTGATAGACCAACACATTCTAATGAAACATGAAAACCATGTAGGATCTCTGTGGCCTAATTTAAATCTAAGGAAACATAAATATATAAATCCAAACAATCGATAAGATACATTTGCTTATTATTATATGTTTGAAATCAGCACAAAATAAACAAATATCAGAAACCATTTTCATATTGCAATTAAAAATGTTGATTTAGGTTCTGGTGAAATATTCAGCACCCCTACAGGAAGACTTTCTGTTGCTAAAACCACAGAACATCTGTATGCTTTTTCTTTTTTTCTGTCACTAGGGTAGATCTAGACTTAAATCCACAGGTTGAACTGTAAAACCAACACTAACACATGTCTTTCATTTAAGCTTGATATACCACTTAATAATCGGATCTCACCAACTATTTAGATACAAAGGCAGCAAAATCCAAACTTGAACAAAAATCAGCAGAACTAAAACAAGCTTAGTAACTGAAGCACACTATAGAAGAAATCTACACACCCCTACATGAAGTAGTTTTCTGTGAAACACAGAAGCAATTTTATATCATATCTAAACCCCTTTTCAGACATATATATATAAAGATATATATATATATATATATTTTTTTTTTCATTGTCATGTTGAGTAGTGGTTTGTAGAGGATTCAAATACAGAGACAGAACCTGATGTGGTTTCTTGCAGATTTGATAACAAATGGTGGCAACAGAAGCATAAATCAGGAAATAATCAATTAAGGAACACAGGATCCAGAACAAAGGGGAGCACATACAATAAGGAGAGAATGAAGAGAATCAAGCAGTGATAAACTTACTTCCTTGCAGTAAGTAAACAGTAACTGTAGAAATTGTGTGAATACATAACAAAGATTAGAGTAATTGGCTGATTGGGAGCAGGTGTGGACAGGAGGGAGCTAGAGCGGAGGTCTTCAACAGGGGGGTCCGCGGAGGTACTGCATGGGGGTTTCAAAAGTTTTGGTTGATTAGACTTTTTTTATATTCCCCACTGCAATTTTTTCCTCTGATTGAAATGTCTTTAAATACTCATGAACATGAATTCAACACACTGTATGGAGGCAGAAGATGTCTTTCAGTCATCAATGCACATATTCAGCGTCACACAGGAGCTCTTTCAAGCAGGGCACCATTTCATTCACAAAACCTGTCCCATCAACCAGGAATCAGAATCAGAAATACTTTAATTATTACCTGGGTGAAATCACTTTGGTTACATGACTCCATCTGTAATAGAGTGACTATAGGACCAGTTTGATATAACACTATTTCATATAATATATATAATTAGGGGGTCCCAGCTCCATCTTGCCATCAGTTTGGTGGTCCTTCACCTGGAAAACGTTGAAGACCCCTGGACAAGAGGAAAGGAAACTGGCATAAGGGGGCAACAGAAAATAAACAAGAAACACATGCAAACTCAATTATAACCAGAAAACAACTAGAAAGATACTAAATGGAAATGAAACCAATTACCTAGAAAACAAAGAATGACATACACTAAAACATAACTTAAAAACTCAAAAAGAAAACATAAACAGAACCAAAACGCCCAGAAAGAGCAGAATCATGACATATATACATATGACATATATTTATGTGTGTGACACTATAAAAGTTAAGTCACATAATATAAAAGAACAATTAAGTGTGAGAGTTTTTATCGAAGGTATAAAATTATTATTTGAGAAGCTCATACCTGTGATGGGTAACATAAAGATATAACCTAAATCAGCCCTCATATAACAGATAACCCAAATAAATCAGACCACAAACGCCCCACGTGTGGTGTGCCATATAGCAGCGGTGGCATCACTGCAACACCTGGCCCAGTTTCCGCTTCAAAACAGAACTAGACCAAAAAGAAAAAATGGGGGGATTACTGTGTTTTCTTCAATTCTTTATGCAACAAACAGGGGAACCTTTTTTATATGAATGTAACACCTTATGATATGGATGTAGTTTTGAACAAGAAAATATCCAGGAGGGAAGGAAGGCTTCCAAAAGTTTCCCTCTCCAGTGTTACTGATCCATAAATCATTAATGAAAACTTTTTTAAATTCTTTGCCCTATAGAAAACAGTTACAGTCATAATAAGCCCCTGAAATGTTTAAATACAGTTTATTCTATCTATCTATCTATCTATCTATCTATCTATCTATCTATCTATCTATCTATCTATCTATCTATCTATCTATCTATCTATCTATAGGCACCATCATGTGCAATAAGAACAGAATCTAGAACAGAATAAATTTAATCATGAACATTTCAATAAATTAAAATCTGTAAGGCATGTCTGTTCTTGCCCTGATCNTATCTATCTATCTATCTATCTATCTATCTATCTATCTATCTATCTATCTATCTATCTATCTATCTATCTATCTATCTATCTGTCTGTCTGTCTGTCTGTCTGTCTGTCTGTCTGTCTGTCTGTCTGTCCGTCTGTCTGTAGGCACCATCGTGTGCAATAAGAACAGAATCTAGAACAGAATAAATTTAATCATGAACATTTCAATAAATTAAAATCTGTAAGGCATGTCTGTTCTTGCCCTGATCGGGAGCACAGACTCAAACATCACTTGGTTCATATGATCATAATTAAGTCCAGTGGGCGGAGGAGCAGAGCAGGGGCGGTCACTCACTGTAAAACAGGCGCTCCTTCCTCCACCATCTCATCTCTGGCCCCTTCCAGCTCAGATCAGATCAGACCTGTACCTCTGCAGGAACCCTCATACTTTTGGCTCCAAGTTGCCTATTTCTGTCTAACCTGGCATCCTCAGAGACTCTCTTTGTAGTTCCACATTCAGGACGGGCTCTAAATTCCTCTGTGTTTAAGGTAAGCGTCTCTATTTGGAGCTTAACTATTAATAACTTTTTGGGAAGACTTGTTTACATCTGTCCCGCCTTTTCCAGGCAGTGCTCCAGATATACTCTGATTTAATTTCCAAATCCGAGTCAAGGTTTGGTCTCCAGGCTGGTCAGGGGAAAGTTTGGGGTTTCTGTGGGGGAATAAGGCTTGTTTGTAAATGTAATTCAGTGGTTATAAATAGTGGAGATGTTTAAAATGGGCGCTGCTTACTGTCCAAGACACATACCCAAATACCGGTATGTTGTTTTAAAAAATGTAATTCTATTTAACTTTGTTTATATTTATTCTCAGCGTCGAATGAAAGAAAACAAACTAAACTTTTCATGGCCTTACAGCAACCAAACCAATTTATAATATCTACATTTTCTTTTTTTTTTTTTTTAAACAACAAAATGTTTCTGATGGGTTTCAAGTCCTTCCTTTCCATCACCCTGATCCTAAGATATCTCTAAGGATTCAGATCAGGACTTTATTTTAATTATTTATCTTTTTATCTTTTATTCCTTGTATATTTTATCCAATTTTATTGATTTAATTATGTGAATGTTATTTTTACCCATGTGTCAGCTGTTTTTTAATCTACTGTTTTATGCTTTATTTATCTATTTACTATTTTTTCTTTATAGCAATTTAGTCGGTTGTGGTTGTTTTTAAGTGCTTAACAAATAAAATTGGATTGGGTTTGACTTTAAGAAGTCAAAAGGAAATTGTTAAAAAGTAAAATAAGTAATTTTTGTCAACATTCCTCCCCCCCTCGGTTCAGATCACAATAAACAAAAGCAACATGAAATATTCACAAACTGTACATTTGAGCCTTTGGAGCTTGAGTTGTAGGCGAAGGAAATGTTTGGCATCCATGCTACAACAACTCTTTAAATATTTACCCCAGTGACTCCACACGTGGAAACCCCAGAGGATTAGAGTTCATTCTTTCACTTTTTAACTGATGGAAGATCAAACTTCATTCCAACTTCACCGCCTGCTGGCGTCCAGCCGGTGTTCTGATCTGTTGTTTAGTTCATGCATTCTTCTGTCCAACACAGTCACAGATGCTGCTGATCATTTCCCTCTGCCTCTTCCTGGTACTTTAAAAATTAAAGCCATGATGTCTGAGCCCCACAGTAGTGAGTGTGTGTAATGATTGCAATGATCCAAATGCATTCATGGGACTTCCTCACTGCTATCAGACCATCATAACCTAAATACATAATATTAATAAACATTTGCACCTGAAATACCACAGCCTTACATTAGACATCAGACTTGCTAGTCGGTGAGACGAACAGGCAAAACTGTTGCTAAGTTTTAGTTGCTTAAAAAAAAAATAAAAAAATCCCCTCAGGAATGTTTGCCTTTCTGCTGAAAATGAAACAAGAATAATAATAAACCAAAAATCTCTTTCAGCTGTTTCTGCTGAGGCCATGTTTTCCAAGGCCACTGCCAAATTCGTCCGTCAGGTTGACCCAGAGGGAAGCCTCATCCACGTTTCCCGAGTAAATGACTCCCACAAACTGCTCCCCATGGCAATCGTCGTCAAGCGCAACCGCGTCTTGATGTGGCAGAGGCCCAAGTACCAGCCGACAGATTTCAGCCTGGGCGATCTGCTGCAGGGTAACCAGGTGCTCAGACCTGGTAGGTGTGCATGCAGAGCCTCAATGTGAGAAATAACAAAGTGAACAGCTTGATCTATGTTAGCAGGACGCCTTTATTAAAATTATTAAATACTGGAGAAACAAGAACTGCTTTAAAAAAAAAAAATAAAGCTCACTACCACCAACCTCCACCCCAGGCTGTGGTCTTTTGTAGCTGTTAGCAGTTTACCTTCATCCATCTTCCCTTTAGCACTGACCGCCTTTCCTGTCCTGCTGAAAATTCAAAATTCCCACATCATGATGCTTTCACCACCGTGTTTAACCTTCAGGATGTTGATTTACAAGGCATTCAATGCCTATTTTTTTTTTTTTTACTCTTTTAAGTTTGGTCTTCACTACGAGGCTTTTATGGTATGGTAGTAAACTGCTAACAAGACCTTCTATGGATTTCTTTAAAAATTTTGTTTTCCATGACATCAAGGTCTGCAGAGTGCATAAGTAATGGATGTCCGATCAACTATCCTCCACCTGAGATGTGGAACTTTGGGGGAGCTGCAGAGATTCTCTGATCCTACAAAAAAAATAAAAAACATAAAAACAGCCACACAAAGATGAGTCTCTATTAGTCCTCATAATGTGGACTTTGGATTCACCAGGCTAATAGCAGCAGCACTAAAGGATTTTTTTTTTCACTTTTCATCAACAATATGGCATTTTGTATCTCTCTGCAGATGTTAAAAGGGAGAATTGTTCCCGTAAAGGATGGATCAGCCAAAATAATTCTCCATTTATTACTTAAGATTATGAAAAGCATTCAGGTCATGAATACTCAGCACTGCTTTGCAGGTTAGATAAGATTCAATAAATTATCTTTATAAAAGCAGATGAAAAATACAAAGCTGGGTGCGGTGGTGGTGCAGAAGTTAAATGTGTGATCTGTGTACCGACGCTTTGGCAATACTATTTCATGTCTGCCTACTTAAAAAAAAAAAACTAAAAATGAAGCCAACTTTTATCTAAAAATAATCTTAAAAAAGTAAAGAATTACAAAAGTGCATACTGTTCGTCTTTACCTCACAATCTACCTGTGATTGATCAATGACTATTTTATGATACTGGAATCAGCCCTTATGTCAGTTTGATTGATGACCCCTGGAGAGATGAAAGTGGGCATTTTCTCAAAGTCTATGCGCATATCTGCTATTTTCTTATCATTCATTTTGACTGATCCACAGACATCTGTGCAGAGAGAAAAAAAAATTGTGGTGAATAGAATAGAATAAATTTGTCATGCACCCAGGTGTGCAGTGCATAGTAGTAGCTTTCATTAGATAAATACATATAAAAACAAATATCAACAAAAAATGCACACACAGGCTACATACAGACTCATAAGAATTTGAAATAAGTAAAAAAGATAGATTTAAGTTTTGATATAAAATGTTGATGGAGGTGGATATAAAAATGTATTTAAAGCAGTTCAGTTTGGTTTTTGGGATTCTGAACCTTCTGCTATAAGGCAAGAGCTCGTATTCCTCATGAAGGATGTGGGACGGGTCCAGCAGTACAGACTGCTCATAGATGGACTGAAGGGAGAAGTTCTCTGTCCTCCCCATCACCTTCATACAGTAGCAGTCTGCCGAGCCATGCCGTCATCTCCAATCTGATGACTCTCCATCACTGCCAGATAAAATAAAAACAATATGTTCTGATTGACACCAAACACCTAACCTTGCGCTGCAACCTGAATGGACATGAGATCTGAGTTTTCAGTCTTACAGCAAGAACTCAACTCAGTTCTACACATATCAGTCTGGCTTACCAAACATCCTCAGCCTGCGCAAAAAATACATCCTTTGCTTTAAACGGGAACATATGTAGTCTTTATGATCACCCCATCGTAAAAGGTTATCCAGGTGCATACCTATACGAGTTTACTTGTTTTATCTCCTTTTGAATGGACAGTGCTGATGTTTATTTTGTGAGAGAAGATGCTCCTGAATTACAGACCATAACAAACTGCTTCTGGCTCCAGCTTCCCTGGTCTCCTCCCAACTCTCTGTTTTTTGGGTTTTTCTCCCAGCAGTGACTGAGACAGAATTCCTAACCTACAAGGGGACGTTCAAGGGCGAGCACTCTGGGAAGTTGGACACCGAGGCCGGCCCCGCAGACCTCTCTTTGGAGAGCCTTGGTTTTTCCAGGCTGGAGTTTTGTTTTGGAAAGCTGAAAAAAGAGGAGCTGGATGTGAAAAAGCTGTTGGAGGACTCAAAGAGCAGGTTTTCAGTCTCTTCCATATTTTTTTTGTCCCAGGCAGGTGTCTGGATGTCAAATCTAAAAGTATTTTACTTTAATTTCTCAACCTCAGATTAGTGGATATGCAACATGTTCTAGTGCAGCAATTGCAGAAGCACACTGAAGTTCTGACCGTGGTGAAAGAGCGGATCGTCACCACCAACCCGTGCTCCATCAACCTGACGAAAAAGCAGCAGTATACCTTTAAAGGTGTGCTGAAGCTGTTCAGCTTGCTGGGAAGATCCCTGAAGGTCAGCCACGCTGCTTTTATATTAACATCAGATACAAAACTTAGTTCATGTGTTGATGATGCATTTGAAGGTTAGTGGAAAGGACATTGACCTCTTTGAAGTGGACAAAGACGTTTCCTTGGAGATCCCCCCTGGCACCGTGATTGCATACAGCACAATGGAGCTGGAGATTGAAAAGAACGGACACTATGGTGAGGGTTTGAATGTGTGGCTTTGTGTGCAAACAAAAAATGTTCAAGGAAAATGAGGTTCTCTCATAAACACTGCTGTTTTTTTTTAAGTCTTTATCTTAGATATTAAGGGGGTTTCCTTGACTTTCTTCTTTGTCTGCATTTTCTTCAACAACATTGTCTCTGTATGGTTTGCAGTTATCTTATGAGGGTGATATCAGCAGAACTAAGCCTTCTGTAAATACGACAGGAGCACATATCTATTTATGCAACACTACAGCTGCTTTCCTGTATTTACAGGCTATTCTGATTGTTTTTCATGGTGCATTTAGGTTACTATTCATTCTTTCCTTTGATTATCCGATAAGGAATGATTCAATCAAAAAAAAAAAAAACTTCAATAACCTGAATTAAGATGGAATCTCTGAGATGTGTGCAGGTTTTTGTACATAGGATGAAACTTTTGAAAACTACCAAGAGGAGAGGGCTTTATTTTGATGAAATGGGGGAATTTAATCCCCAAACATCCTCATAGTGTGTTTTTCATTTCTCAGATATACGCCTCCAACCCGGCACCACTGGAGGCTTCAAGAGCGACTCAATACCATTTCATGATTGCTTTGACTCAGTGGATGGCCAGGACTTGCGCCATGGTAATTCCCGATTTCTCACAATTACAGAAACGAATTAAGCAGTCGACGCAAAGAAGTGAAACCATTAGCAAGGATGAAGCTTCCCTTCCTTTGAAAGGGGAAAGGAAAGGAATGCAGAAAGTACATTTGATGAATTGTTCATTGAAAGTTATTTCATAAAAATTGATTCTTGAAATTCAAGTTATGTTAATAAGAGATAAACCATCTGGGATCTTGCAGGAGGGCCAGAGACGGTCCTTTCTCGTCTGGCAGAACTCCACCAGTCTACTCGACGCGGCTTAGTAGAGAAGCTCCAAGAGGTTCTTAGGGACAGGGCCGCTCTATGCTTCATGCAGAACATGGTGAGGTTCACACTAGCCTGTCACACAACAATAAACATCACTTCTTTGGACTTTTCATTATTTCCTAACTGCACAAGAACAATTGTGTAAGAAGTGACTTCCCATGAGTATTACTTTAAGTTCACTACCTTTGAGGAGGAAAATTAACAATCATTATCAGTTGATGAAGTTTTTCTCCTCAGTCTGCTCAATCTTTATTTCTGTTAGCTGGAGAAATTGTGTGATGGTGAAACAGTGCAAACTCCCGTCATCAATGAGAAGGAGACAAATTCCCTTCCCATCGTGGATCTGATGGAATCATGCTGCCTCTCTGAAGACGGCCCGACTTGCCCCTCTTTACACCTGGACCTATTTTACGGCCTGGTCAGTGCCATGGAGGGTGAGCAAAATCTTAACGCATAAAAAAATCCCAACTGAGATTAAAATTTGCTTTTATATTATAATTTCTAACCGTGCTGCATGATTTTTGTTCTTAGAGCTGCCCGACGAGACGCTGAACATTTTGAGCAGCTGCCGACCTGATTTTCTGAAAGGCTTTGATGCCCTGGTTTGTTGATCTAATTTTACTTAAATAAACTTGTTTAGATTGTTTAGATGGAGCCACCTACGCACCGCCTTCTCCTGCTCTCGGCCCATAGCTCTTCTATAGGGTTTAGTACTGTGCCAGCCATGGAGAATAAGTTCATTGCGTTTCTGCTAACCTATTTCTCTGTTCATTGGACCATATGTATTTATTATTATTGCAATGACAAATATTTCTTTTTCACTTATTCCAGCACTCTTTTTTAAATTAACTTGCATTTCTAATGTTCCTTATTCCATGAACAAGCTCCTGTGCAAGAGCAACAGGCCCACAGACTGACAGATCCTCCACCATACTTAACACAAGGCTTTAAGTGCTCTGCCAGTTAAAAAAAAAGACTCATTTTAGGGCAAAATCTATGTTATCTATATTGTGATCAGTAGGAGTAGAATTTTAATTGAGAAAGTCTGATATCCTGAATGTATGCATAAAAAAAAATAGTAAAAGTAATCGTTTTCTTTATTTAATATAAAGGAGATTCAATTAAAATGTTTATGCTACAGAGTGAAATGCAGCCTAAGTTATCAATGAGTTTATTTCTAAGGTTTTGTTTCCTGTGCTACACAAACATAAAAAGAATGCCATGAAATTCCAGCTGTAATCATTGGACTGCCATTAATAGCACTCTAATAAAAGACTCTTTCAACACCTTTATAAAGTGTGAATACTTCAGGAATATGTAGTTTAGATGCTATAAAGCTGGATTCTTAGTGTGTGATATGATAGAAAAATAGGAATTTCCTTTTTATTATGGTTTAATGTTTTTTTTTTTTTTTATTGCAATGAATTTAATTCACAAAACACATCCCTTGGCCCATTAGCTGTGGGGGAAGAGGCTGCCCTGTGTTGGTCCCTGCGTTTACATGCATGGCTTCCACTAGTCCTCTTCTTCATCTTAATAAACCTTGACAGGCTCTTACATCCAGGATTCTCTCTTTTTCTATAGATTGAAACAATTTTGATTATTTTTAAATCCCATCCCATGTTTTTTTTTCTGAACAGATCCGCGGGTTAAAGGACAGCAGAGGGAAGCTGTCTGTTCAGTACATTCCTGCCAATCTGCAGGACAACCAGGTCTTCCAGCAGGCGGAGCAGCTGCTCAGGTCGGTCGGTGTGACGCTGCAGAGAGACTCTGAGGTTCTCCACATGGAAGCAGACCCCTTTAAAGAGGTTCCCCTGCTTCTCCTTGGTGTCAGTGTGCATGGACTGGCCTTACTCTGCACTGACCTATGTTAGATGCACACCTACAGTATTTCTTTTCTTCATTGAGATTTATAGCATTACCTTTTCCGTCTAGACTTTTATACCGTCTTAGCTTCATTTATTTCATGGCTTGATACAATCTTTATTATTTATTTAACATAAATGTTTTATCACACATGTAAACTGTTTATATTTTTGTGTGAAAAATTTAAAGTTGGTGAATTGGGATTGGATATTTGAGGTGTTGGCACTTATTTGCTATCAGTTACTATTATATACTATAACAGTCTAGTTATTTCTGTTTTAACTGTTACCGTAGCTTTTACCCTCAGTTATCATTATGATATTGAAAAGCTTTCTTCTCAGTTAATATTCATCAAATAAGCTAAAAGCTGATAGTTTGTCAAGCTTGAGGATTTCTTTTTGTTTTCACAGCAGTTGTTTTCTCTCTCTCTCAACTCAAAAAGAATTTGAGAGCAACATCATTTTGGCTGTTTAGGACAAAAGAATAAAGAACAAACTGAAGGTATTTTTATGTTTAATCCTGCCTTATAAGATCCCATTTTGTATCTGTTCCCCTTCTCTTTGTAACTGGATTAATTTATTTCTACATTATTTAGCAGGGCTATATGTATTTATCATTTCCTAAAGGACTGGCATTGGACCATAAGCTTCTGTGTAAAAGTCTAGTTGTTTCCTTCACCATAAGCTCACAGTCAGCATAAATTCTTGCTTGATTAATTATAAGCTGCTTGAAGACTTTTTAAAACTTTCCTTTTAATTACAACATAACCAGTTTTTATTTTATTTAATAGAAATGCGAAATATATTTGTCTGATTTCGAAAGTGTTTTTTTTTTTAATCTGAGAAATTGTTTTTTTTGTATGCTGTTCATTAAAAATATGTTTTGTTGATTAAAAAAGAAAAGGCTCTGTTTTTTCATTGAGTTTGAGAAGGTTGAAGGAGAACCAGTGGGTAGATCTAGGCTTTAGGAGAGATAGAGATGAGGGTCATCTGCATTGAAAGGAAACTAAATTCTGAACTTGCAAAAAAAGAAGAAGGGGGTTGGTATAAAGAGTAAAAATGAAAGGTCGAAGACCAGAACCTTGGTGGACTTCTGATAAATGAATGGATTGCCTGGATGGGGATATTTGGAAGTGGATGAAGGAAGAGATATGATGAGAACAAGTTTAGGGGAACAGAAACCATTAAGATGTGCATTAAAATATATTATCGAAAGTAATTTGAGGAGGATGAGGACTGATAGAAGATCAGAGTCTGCTCTAATCAGGAGATCATTTGTGGCTAAAATAATTAATGTAAAAAAAAAAAAAAAAAAAACTAAACATAGAACTGTGGAAAAAAAACTATTGCCCATTCAATTAAACATTTGTAAAATTCAATAGTTCAAACTTCTACTTTTCCAAACAACTTAAGGCTGAAGGGATAATAGACAAAGCAACTTTGATCCAATGTATGTTTAGAATTGAGGATTCTAGATTCACTGATAATAAGACATGTATATAAATCGAGTGGTGGACAATAAAAGTAATTTTGATATTAGTTAGATGTTGAGTTAATATAATTCTAAAAAAAGTTAATTTCTCTACAGTTTTTCATTTTTCGTTTTGTTTCATATTTCAAATGTTTTATGTCACTGATACATTTTAATGCCAAACAGCAGCTTGCTTAATGATTGCTTTGTTTATAAAATACGACAATGTCTTTTAGCTGTATGTGAAAAGATAAATATTCCCTAAACTTATTAATTGATTGTGCTACCCGGTCAGAAAGAATCACATCCCATTGCTCTTTGCTGAATTGTTTATTTTGGCAACACTGGGGGGATGTTTAACACTACTGATGTATTTAAGGCAATAACACAGAATCTAATTTGGATTTAAGTCCAGATTTTGACAAGTCAGCTCTGGAACATTGTTTAAGCCCATCCAAGGTGGAGTAAGAAATCCGAGACCTGAAAAATCACACAGGGAGTTCTTAAAAGCTCCCTTCTGGGGGCCTCCCATTCAACATCTACATGCTCCCCTTAGCTGAGATTATTGCAAACGACAAGATCAGTTATCATGACTATGCAGATGACACAGAGCTTTACCTTAGGTTTTATTGTTCCATTCATGCAAAGGGAGCCTAGTGATTAGGGCAACAACTCCAGACTGCCACTCTGGGTCTCTGAGCAAAGACCCTTAACCCCCGATTGCTCCCGGGCGCCCCACCCACTGCTCCCCAAGGGGTGGGTTAAATGCAGAGGCAAATTTCTCCAATGTGAGATCAATAAAGTTCAATTATTATTATTAAAGCACCTAGAATTGTCTTTGTACTAAACTGTGCTATACAAATAAACTTGTCTTGTCTTCATTTATCGTTGTGTTGCTGCATATGTGCTCCTAAGGTCATAAAATGGCCTTGACACAGGAAGAAAACAATGTCATCCAGGTCCTACCGTTGCAAAGACGATCCAGATCATTACTCTACTATCTCTATGTTGGATCGTTGTTTTTTCTGGATCAAACGGAATATACATCAACTTCAGCATTAAACAGGATACTTTTTAGCAAATGTGAAATATGCCTTTAATATCTATTTTGGTAAGAGGTCAAGTTAAATGGTGTGGGTGTGAATTGATAATGTTTCTATATTTTACCACTTGTTTCTCACAGCTGCAAAAAAAGATAGGTTACATAAACATGCAGGGACGTATGGTGATCTAACTATTATAATCGTGTCTCACTGTATAATTAAATTTCTATCTGCATTTATTTGTTTATTGTATTTTTTAGGAGGGGAATTAATTGTACGCTTATTTAGTTTTGGAGCATTTATTTATTTCTGTATTCATTTTCTAATTATGGCAGGATTGGTCCTCCAGAGATTGGTCCTCCATATTCTTCATATACGAGAAGTAAAAATATAAATAAAATTTTGTCTCGAAGAACCAGAAATTATTGAACATCTCTTCTATTCATGTCGAGTCACAGGTTGCTTTTGGCAGAACCTGCATATTCGGTTAAGTAGCAAAATAAATAATAAAATCATACCTTTTGAGAAAAATCTAATATTAACATACAAGAATGACATTCCGAAGGACTAATCTGATATGGTCAATATTATAAGTATGGGAAGATATCATATACATGCATGTAAATGGAAAAATCCAAAAACCTTCAGTAACAAGTTTCAAAAATGAACTCAAAATCTTCTACTCCTTTTTATCTCTGTTAGCTGACAAATATGAACATATACAAAAACTATGTAGTGACATGTCAAAATTTCTGGTTTTTGATCAGCAAAATGCTAAAGTTAACGTGATGCAAGGTCTTGTAGTAGAATGAGGCTGTCTCTTTTAAAATTTTAAATTTGTCTTTTTTTCTTTTGTATGTTTCCTTTGGTTGTAATAATACTGCCTGTTTTTTATTCATTTATCTCTGTTGCCTTGCAATATTTAAGTTTATAATATATGTTGTCTTCTTTTTTATGTAAGAAAGAAATGTTGTGATTCCTATTTGGAAAAAAAAAACATAAATAAATGTCTTTAATCAATGCTACCACACGGGGTCGCTGTGGGGGTTAAACACCGACGCTTACTGATGACGTATTTTCACGCGACCTGCTTCGTTCGTAAACAGACGGAGGGGTAAACGGCGGTTTAAGGCCCAGGGACACCGCTTTGAACATGGTGGTGTGTAACTTTTTCCTACAGGGTCGCTGTCGGTACGGGGAGAAATGCTGGAATGAGCACCCGGTGGGAGGAAGCAGAGGAGGGGGAGGATATAACCAGAGTTACAGCCGCTCCGGGGGTCAGCAGCAGCAGTCCAGAGGAGGAGGAGGAGGAGGAGGAGGAGGTAACATGAGACCCAAACCTTAATAATTTACTAACTTGTTCCATAAACCCCACCCGGCAGATTACTACTTATAAAGGATTGGAGTTTTGCTTCTTTAGCTAAAGTTATAGGTGTCTCTCAGCGATGTTCGCATAGTTTCATTTTCCCTTTTTAGGGCTACATGTTGTATGTTGGATCTAAAAACTCTTCATGTTTATGTTTATCGGATAAAAACTGTTTATTCTAACACTATTTATCCTCATTAGGTCATATTAGTGATGGGTTATTGAGGCATCTTTAAGCGTTTCGTCACACTTCGTTGATACTGCCGCAGAATACTGACACCTGCTGGACATTTAAAGACACTACAGGCAGCTTATTTGACAGACTAAACTCGGTTAATTTGATGACCTAGAGAAATGATTTGATTTAAGTTATCTTAGGTTATAATGTATTATTTCATATCTATTTTTAAAATGAAAATATCTTTGATATTTTTAGATGCAGTCAATAAATAATGAACATTTATGATAACGTGAAAATTTAGGGGAAAATGTGAATGAGGATTCTTGTGGACTAGGATTTTAAATCATATTTTTAAAATATGTAGTTTTTTTGTTTTTTTGGCAGATGCATTATGTTGACAGCTATATTTTAAAAAACAATTTAGTGTGTCAGTCAGAAACAGCTCCTGCATCGGTCACAGGCCTTTCTTGAAACGACATGCTCACCGATGCAGTGTTTTGCTCTATGGGTTCGATGCATGCACCAACTGTTTAGTGTAGCTCTATTTATCCTCATTAGTTCATACTTTGACCTGAAAAAATAATATTTTAATGCATTATCTCCCATTTCATTGTTTTAAAGTCCTTTCCATCCACCCGCCTCCATCACTGACAGCTAGAAACAGCCTACTGTGATTAAGCTGGTGTAGAAATAGTCCTGAAAAGTTATATAATTTCATTAGCTCCTAGTTACATCTCCATAACCCACAATTCATTTTCTGTCCATTTTCTTCTTCCAGGCTTTGGGAACCGGGTTTGGGTGAATCCCTCCCAGCAAAGAGGAGGTTATATCCAACCTTCATCCTTCTCGTCACAGGGAAGCACTGACTGGGGATCTGGGCGAGAAGGAGGAGGAGGAAGAAGAGAAAACGTGAAGAGCTCCAACTTCAGCTTCTCCACTCAGAATCGGTTCTCTGCTCTCAATACTTCCAATGCATTTGACAAGGGAAGAAGAGGAGAAGGAGGAGGAGGATCAGCTGCGGATGAAGACGATGATAAGAAACTGTAATTTTTCTTTTCTTTAATA